TGGAGTTGATGGAACTAGCTTCTAGGTCAAGTGAAACAGTTGGATATGTATGCCCCGATTGTACCAGATGAAAGACCATCTCCCCAAATTGCCAACCACTACTTGTAATGAAGCTAAGTAGCATCAACTGATCTTCTCATCTGAGAGACGCTTTTGTCTTGGAACTAGCTGCAGACTTTAGGGTCATTGGTTCAAACCCACCAGCTGCACCACATAAGAAAGGTGAGGCTGTCTGGACCTGCACAGATTTAGTCTTGGAAACCCCAGGGACAGTTCTACTGTATCCTATAGGTCACTGTGAGTTGGAGATGAGTGGGTGTTTGGGTTATACATACGTGGACATACATGAGTATGTCTACATACACAAAGGAAGCAGGTATGGGTATATTCTGGCTCGCTCATCAGTTGGTTTATCTCCACCTGTCATTGACTAGGCAAGCCCAAAACTCTGAAGAGATTAACTTGCAGGAAATGGATAGTGAGGCAAATAATTTTTATCCACCAAAAAAATGTTACTGTAGCTGCTAAAATGAAAATAAATGTGACCAGTTTTGCATCTATTTGTTAAAAAAAAAAGAAAAGCAAATAATATTTTATACACACAGTCTCACTTAGCTGATTCCATTTGGTAGATTTTTTTCTGTCTAGAAGAGCAGCCAGTTGGGTCTGGATTGCAGAGAAATGCATATGAATGCCCTGAAAATCATACTCAGACAATCCGACTGTAATTGATTCTTTTATGTATGGCCTTCAGTGGAAGCCAAGTGCTCTCACTGCTCTGTACCAAGGCCTGCGGGCCCCAGAGGGGCTTACTCGGGGGTTTAAGCCGTAAACAGCAGCTTGTGCTTACTTTGGATTGACTGTAGTTCATCCCAGTGGCAGTTTTTCCTTCTGGTCTTTCTACTAATCACATCCTTGGGAAAAAAAATCATCCCTACAGCAGATTTGTGGGTCTTTTTTCTAATTAAAAAAAGAGAATAACTCAAGAAAGCTCTGAATTTAAGACTTTCCTTTTTCTGGGTTATAAAATTTACACGATTATGTGTTCATGCAATATTTGCATATCACTTTCCTGATCATGTCACACTGTATGAAAATTCCTGGCACTTCCCCAGGGTCTGCTTCTCAGTGAGCCTGGGTAGCCACCATCCCCACAGCAATAAGGCACAGAATGGGGGCAAGGCTGCCCTGCATTTCCACACCAGCCTCTCGGGCTGCCAGACGGAGTTGGAGAGCTCTCACAGTGTAGGAGCGACGGGGATAGTGGGGTTCTCTCTTCTGTTTTATTAGTTTCGCTAACACCATACACAGAGGAAAAAATAGTCAGGTTTTTGTAGACTTGGAGAAGCAAGATAGTGATATTGATGCCAGAGGAAGCCTAGTGGCACAGAGGTTAAAATGCCCCAATGGTCTCTGAAATGGCAGCGACGTGAACCCACCAACTGCCTGTGGGAATCCAGTGACAATCGGCCGGTGTGAGGATTTACGTCATTACAGAGCTCATGTGGCTGTCCTACTCTGTCCGGGGATTCTTGTGAGTTGGAATAGACTGGCAGCATCAGGGTTTTTTGTTTTGTTTTGTTCTTGGTTTTAGCTTATTTACTGGGATTGGATGTACAGTTTTGTTGTGCCCTGCATAACTGTCATTCAAAATCACAACTAAACTCACAGCATTGAACATGAATGATCAAACATATGTCTTGTCGGTTGGCATCAAGGACCTCCTATGTGCAGAAAGCTACAGGTCACTGAAGAGACTGGAAAGAAGGAAAAGTCCAAAGTGGACGTCAGAAGGAACTTGGGAGTTTGCTCTTGAGTAGCTAAGATGAGTGGAAGAAGTGACAATGCTGAGGAACTGAGCAAGAGTCCAGGATTGATGCATTGGCTGCAACAACAGGCTCAAAAAAAGAACAACTGTGAGGCTGGCGCAGGACCGGGCCCTCTGTTGTACACAGGGCTGCTTTGAGTCAGAACTGACTCGATCTTAGCAGACAACATTACCATAGGAGCTGCACTGAGAACAACTAGACTCCGGGTAAGTTTGGTGCCAAAGCACACGGAGGTCTGCATGGGACCCTGGGACTATGGATGCTGAAAAGAGATAAGGCCCTTTCCCCAGGGCTGAGAGTGAAAGCCGTCCCCTAGAGTCTACCCTCTGAATTAAAATTTCTAGTCTCCTAAATTGTTTGTTGAGTTCATTGACTTGGGGTATTTCTAATATTACGGCACCCGATAACTAAGAGGGTTGATAGGAATTGAATTGGACTTCATAGAGAAGATTTTACTTTGGGGGTGTTTTCAGCTGCCTCATATTCATGCAAAAGCTGAATCATGAATAAGAAATACCGAAGAATTGACATATGCAAATTACGATATTGGAGAAAAATGTTAAATATGCTATGGATTGCAGAAGAATGAACAAAACTGACTTGGAAGAAGTGCAGAGGAATATTTCTCAGAAACCAGGATGGTAAGTAGTTCACATACTGTGAACACATTGTCAGGAAAAACCAGTCCTTGGAGAAGAACATCATTCTTGACAAAGTAGTGGTTCAATGAAAAAGAAAACAATCCTCAACAAGCTGGATTGACACAGTGGATGCCACCGTGGACTCAAGTGGAAGACCACTTACGGGGGTGGCATAGGTCTGGGCAGTGTTTATTCTGTCATACATGGGGTTCCCATGAGCCAGCATTCACTCAGCAGCACTTAACAACCGAAAGATTTGAACACATCCAGTGGAACCACAGAAGACCTGGTGATCTTCTTCCATCAAGATTATGGCCAAGAAAACCCTATGGAGCATAGTTTCCCTCTGTAACACATGGGACTGACATGAATAGTAGAATGGGGTTGGGTTTCATGTATCAGAAACATCCAAAGCACGGGGGGGTGGG